GCCAATGCACTAAGAAGCATGTCATTAGCTGCAAAGCTCAAAAACTATGTGGTAACTAAGACACAAGTTCAAAAGTGTCTAATTAGTAGAAGTACAGATCATCTGATATGTATCCGAAACTCTCTCCCTCCGCAACCAAAAAACAAAAAAACAAAAAAAAAAACCTCCCTTTTTTGCCCTTTTTGGTAAAAGGCTTTTTCTTAAAAATAAACAAAATGAAGATTGTTAATTGAAGTGTCAAGGCCCAAATTTTTAATAATCAGATAGAAGTTGGTGCACTCTGTTTTAAATTGGCAAATAAACTGCAATATATTTTACTAACGTCCTAGTCAGAACTGAACAACTATAGCACTGTGAAACCAGTAAATCAACTGAAACAAAATGTGCATTAGAGGTCACGTATCTGTCAAAACTTCCTTCAAACCCCCATAACAAACAAATAGAAAGGTACAGAAAATAAAACCTACTTCTGAGTAGACACGAAGTTGATCTTCCATTTTCCAACTTTTCCTGATCCTTGCTGACTCGCAGTTCGAGCTGGTGAATAAATCAGAACCTGCCATGAAATTATTGAACGTATTCTTTAAATTTTGGACTCCCAAATGAAAATAATGCCACAAACAATTACATTTATGAAAAGATAACTACTCCTTTTTTCCCTTATGCACCTTTAAATATTAAAATGATTATGAGTTTATATTTCATAACCCACAGCCTGCAAGATTAAACTTTTAATGCATGAAAGAAACTTAGTCATATGATATCAACTATAGCAACAATAGAAGCTCTTTAATCAATTTATACACAAAAATAAAGAAAATATTCAGTGGTCCACTGAAATCCCTAGCTCAGATATCGATTGAATTACTTGATTTTTCATTTAAAATTACCTCCATTAACTGACTATAACTGAAAAATAATTGGAGAAAAAAAAAACACGTTAGCAGAAAAGAGTATACCCGTCTGCGAAGATGTTCTTCGGGGATGCCAGAGACCATGCCGATTTCTCCAGGTTTGGTCTCCACCAATGCGTCTGAGGCGAATGGTCTCGACAGTGGGGTCAGGAAAGATGGATAGGCTTGACGAGATCGGCTAGCGAGGCGTAGAAGGGAGCTCGCCATTTTTCCAATGCCGGAGGTTCCTATCTGGCGGGTGCAGGGATTGACTGAATTTTTTGGTGTATCAGATCAAAATGATACGCAAGAGCAGTGAGGGCGACAAAAGGGGAATAAGTGAAAAATTTTGGGAACTTATGTTTTGCATTGCATTTTATGTTTGCCCCAAAGCGCAATTGAAAATTATGCTCCCCAGTAGTTTAATATAGTTGGTTGTAAATTTATGTTTAGCAGCTAGTAGTGATTTGTAACTGCGTTTGCTGATTTTTAGCTTCAAGAATGCTCGAGGAATGACTAAACATTCCCGCTTGACAAATGAGTTTTTTGAGTGTTTATCTAAAATTTTATTATAATTTACTGTAAAAGTTGTAGAAAAAAATTTTTAAATATGTAAATTTTTAAATATTTTGAAATGTATAATTTAAAATTTTTGAGAAGTTTTTTTAGATTACTGTAGTTAAAGTTGTTAAAAAACTTATAGCAGACAAACTTGGCAAAAAACTTGCTTGCCAAACAAGGCCAAACTAATTTGTTATCTTTTAAACTCTCAATTTTATTATTATTATAAAAATCAATTTTTACCTAATCACTTGCTCACATTTTGCCAATATGACAATTCATAATTATCCTAAATATTGTAACTGCTAAATTACTATAATCATATAAACCAAACTTCTTTCATGAAATTTTTATATAAATTTTTTGTATGTTACAAACAAAATTTATATAAAATTAATTTATTTTAATTATTTTCTAATTACATGCACATTGAGTGTGCTCTTGAAACTAGCAGTATAATTCTTAACCATCAAAAACTTCTGGAAAAGCTTTTTTTTTTTTTTTTGTGAAACAAGTTTAGTAACACTTTTTTTTTTATTGATTTCAGAACTTGATAAATGCCTTTTGTTTTATAAGTTACTACAATATATTATACTACTAAGTATTACCCATAGTTGATGTTATGGTAATTTTGGGATTATTAGACTCAAAAATTGGGCTTAGGGAAATTTTGAAATTATTTTTTTTTTGTTTTCCATGTGTTGTTATTTTTGGAGAAGTATACTTGCAAAAATATATATCCTTTTTTTTTACGTTTAGATGCGCCAGGACGTGGAACAATATTTGAAACAAATATTAGTTATGCATAAGCATTCATGATGACGAATTTATTGAAAACCTTATACTCAACTGATTTTCAAGACCTGATTTTAGGTTTTAATTTTGAAAAAGTATTTAGTTGTCTTCTTAACTGTTTTTAACATTCAAATTTTGAACTTTTTAAGCTTCAAAAAATTGAAAATTAGAAGCATACATTTTTTTATAGGTGGCAAACCAATCCACTTAACTAAATTTACTCATACCCACCCATGAATAGATGGGTATGGGTATCTTAAATTTTTATATATGGGTATAAATGGATTACCCAATAATACCCATTTAATAAATGGGTATTAATGGGTTACCCATCAAACCCAATTAACCCATTTAGAAGTCTCTTCTCCCAAATCTCTTCTCTTCCCTCACCCATTTTTTTTTCAAAATTTTTGTTTTGTCATGATGTTAACTACTTTTGTTTCATTATTATTATTATTATTTGTTGGTTTTATCTTATTATTTTATTTTATCTTAGTTTGTTAGTTTGCTCATTTTTCAGCATTATCAATTTATGATAAATTTTAGGCTATTTTCTTATCTTTCTAAAATGAAGTTTTAAATTTATATATGAAAATAATGTTAAGGATTCAAAATTTTTGGTTTAAGTTTTATATTAACTTTTATAGTACGTAGTTCAAATTTTTATATTCTTATTATTCAATTATTAAATAATATGTAAATTTGCTTCAGAAAGTATAAATGGAAAAAAATTGGTAATTAGGCTTATTGAGCATTACAAGTAGATATTTAAAACTAATGATGGATACAAAGAGCGGTATAAATTGATAACTTAGTTTGCAAAAATGAATTTAAATGAGTTTACAAAAAATTAAAATAAATGGGTAATTGGGTTACCCAATTCATTTTTTAACTTACCCATATATACCCATCTAATTAGATGGGTATAAATGGGTTGACTCACTTATACCCATTATCCATTTTACCCAATCCAAACCTGCCCAAGTCACCCATTTTGACACCTCTAATTTTTTTAACTCTAATTTTCCAAAATCAGGTTCTAGACAATGAGAAACAATTGAGAACAAGTCTAGAGTCAATGGGGGCAAAGTCGAGCCTTGGTCTTGTACTGGTTCAAATCTCATATATGAGGTTTTGATGATTCTGTGAGTTTATTAGGTATATAATTGGGTTAGAGTTGTAATTTCCACTGGTTATGAGTTAATTTTTTAGTTGTGTTACTTTCACTATCGTGGTTCTCTTCTCTCTTTGTAATCTATTTTAAAATTAAAAAAGTCTTAAATCTACAAACCCATTAATTGGATCACAAAGCGTACAAGTTAGTTGACATCTTCTAATAGACACCAACATTTGGAAAGAAATCAAGCAAAAAATTAGGACTACAAACCAATAAAGAAATTTTTTCTATTAAAAGAAAGAAAGGGAATTAATTGCCTGAAAAATATTATGGCAGTCAAAATGTCAAATGCAATGAACAACGGAAATATACTACAAGTTATAATTTTAATACATTCAATCAAATTAATTATCTTTTAATGTAGATTGACATAATCCACGTGGTTGAAGCCGAGGTATCAAATACAAAAAATCAAAATTAGAGGACAATATATTGAATGTGACAATAGGGTTATTCTCTATTGATTATTTTAATTGATTATATATTTTAATTTTAGATAATCAGTTTCTGTGATATTCTTGATTTTTTTGTTTTGTATTTTGATTACAAATCTTTTAATGATTAAAAAAGGTTAAAATATATAATCACACAAATAGTAGTTTTTGCTGATTTTGCTCATTCTCTCTAATCAATTTCTATAACTAAATTTTATAATATCTAAAGCAACCAAGAATAAAATCTAGAGTTATAACATTGAGTTTTGTAAGTTAGCTGGCAAACAAACCCATTTAACTAAGTTTACCCATAGCCGTCCATGAATAGATAGGTATAGGTATGTTAAATTTTTACATATGGGTATAAATGGATTACCCAATAATACCCATTTAATTATTGGGTAACCCATCAAAGTCAATTAATCCATTTAGAATTGTCTTCCCCCAAACTTCCTCACTTTCCCCACCCATTAACTTGCTCATTTTTCACCATTACCAATTTATGACAAGTTTTAGCCTCTTTTCTTATTTTTCCAAAATGAAATTTTAAATTTACACACGAAAAAATGCTAGAGATTCAAAATTTTTGATTAAGTTTTTATATTAACTTTTATAGTACTTAGTTCAAATTTTTATATTCTTATTATTTAATTATTAAATAGTATGCAATTTTGCGACATAGAGTACACATGGAAAAAAAATTGATAATTAGATTTATTAAGCATTATAAATAAATATTTAAAACTAATGATGAGTGCAAAGGATGGTATAAATTGATAACTTAGTTTGCAAAAATGAATTTAAATGAATTTACAAAAAGTTAAAATAAATGGGTTATAAATGGGTAATTGGGTTACCTAATTCATTTTTTGACTTACCCATTTATACCCATATAATTAAATGGATATAAATGGATTGACTCACTTATACCTATTACCCATTTTACCTAACCCAAATCCGTCCAAATCACCCATTTTGATACCTCTTAAAACTGAGATATATTAAATTCGAATCCTTTCATTTATATTTTAAAAAAAATAAAAGAGAAATAGAAACAACGGAATTGAAAAGGGGAGGACTCGAACCCCCATTAAATAATGGGGGCCAAAATTTCATTTCTTTCCCACTGAATAAAGAGAATTGCCGCAAGCCCGCGACAGCTGTTGGCTTTGGAGTTAGTACGTACGCACACACTCACTCTCCTTTTAGGGTTTCATTTTTTATGTTCTGTGTTTTTGGGTCGGTGTTAATTCCCCTGGCGGAGGAGAAAGACTGCTGTGATGGTTTAATAACGATATGAAGGAGAAGCGTCGCGTTTGATTTACCATCACTGCATTCTTTCGCAGCCCTTGGCTTTCCCGGGTATGCTAAACCAGCAACTTTCAATTTACGTACTCTTTTTCGTCTGGGCTAATCTAGAAAGCATACTGCTGCTGCTGGATGTTATTTTTGTTAAATTATTGCTTGATGTTGTTTTACTTTATTGCAAATTGTTATAGTGAGCGTTGGTAAGTTTTGCAACCAATAATATTTCTTCTTTGATGACACGTGCATGTGCTTGAAGAATTGTACAATTGTTTTTTTTTAATCTCATTGAAGTGGACAGTTTTTCAACTAAACGATTTGTTTCTTCGGTAATTTCATTAATTCCTAAATTTTTTCATTTTAGGATTTTGAGCATTACAAACTCTGCTGGTTAGACAAGATAATATCTTGAATAGCTTTCCAAGTTTAGTGACATGTAAGATTAACACATGGCCCTGGATTTTTTTTATTACTATTTTTTTGTTGAGTAAAATTTTTAAGGTTTTTCGAAAGAGACATACAATCTCATAATTAAATATTGAGAAGCGTAGGGACTGGCCACAGCTTTAACTACTTGTGCCGTTCCTGAAGGTACTGGGGTTCATGAACTATCTACTACATTTGAATTAAGTTGCTTTCCGTATCATCAGTTTTGTATTCTTAAAATGTTTTAACTCCATCAATTTCATGGATAACGATTTTCAAATCTCATCTTTTATTCATTTCTGATGATTTAACTGCTTCTAATGCTAGCTTAGTCTCTCTTTCAGTATAATTTACAGTATGATGTAGCTATGTGAGGTGCAATTCTCTGTAATTTACAGAAGTATCTTGGATACCTGTTTGATGGGTGCCCCTAAGCAGAAGTGGACTCCAGAAGAAGAAGCAGCCCTTAAAGCTGGCATTGCAAAGTATGGTGTAGGCAAATGGAGTACAATTCTTAAAGATCCGGAGTTCAGTGCAGTCTTGCGCTCACGCTCAAATGTGGATCTTAAGGTACATATGTTGAGCATTTTGTCTGTATTCTCTTTTATTCATTGACAGAAGTTTAATATCTAAATGTAGTTGCTTGGTAAGCTAAATATCAGTTATACTGATTTTGCTAATGCATCATTGTGCTTTGTGATTTCTGCAATCTTGCTTCTCTGACATGTTGGTGGAAGGTGCTGATTTTAAGGCTTTGGACTTGACAGGATAAATGGAGAAACATAAATGTGATGGCCAATGGGTGGGGCTCTCGGCAGAGAGGTAGGCCTGGATATAAAATTGCTCAGCAGACTGCCAAGCTTGAGGATATTACTAGGGACCTTAGCCCTGTGGTTACTAATGTTCCAGAACTTGTTGATGCTGAACCTCTTTCAGTAATCAGTGTAAAAGAGCCAAACTCCAGCTCCAAAACGCCAATTTCAAGGTTATATGACTATTTGTACATTGGACTGGGCTCAGTTCGTGTGATACGTTGAAGTCATACCAGAGATAACTCTTGTTTTTGACATCCTTCCCGGAGAACTCCTGTGAATAGAATGCATGATTATGCCATAACTCTTGCAAATTATGTTCTCATTGTTGTGGATCTAACTGTTTTGAGGTTATATGCATGTGCTATCAACATCTTTATCAAAAGCTCCATGGTTACTAAGAGATCTTTGCATTTAGTCTTTTCCTTAATTTTTTTTTGGGAATGGATTTTGTCCAGCTCATGCATTATGTCTCTTGGGCAGGAGATGTGCTTGTTTCACGTTTGTAGTTAATCAATCTGCTACAGTGGATTAGAAAGTTTGTCCAGTTATTCTTGATTTGACTTGATGCAGAAGTTCTGAACTGGATTTGGTATTGATTTCAATATAAAGATGATTAAATTGGATTAAAAACTAAAGTTTGTTATGATCTAAAAGGTTGGAAGGAAAAAATTTCGAATATACAATGACACAGCTTGGATGATCTTTGTATTGGAGGGAATTCAATAAAGAAATTCTATGCTTAATTTCCTTCTTGTTTTTGTTTTTTCCTTTTCTCAAATTGATGTCTTTACTGATCAAATTGTTGACTTGAATTTAAATTGACACAGGTTGGATGATCTTATATTGGAGGCTATTGCAAAGTTGAAGGAACCCCGTGGTTCTAACCGGGCTGCAATTTCTCTGTACATAGAGGTTATATTAATGAAGAATACTGGTCTTTAGAAAAAGTCATTGGGTAGCAGCACTTCTGATTTTCCCATGGTTATAAATTTTGAGGGTGTTAAGGTTGTTTTAGCTGTATAATTAAAAATGGCATCTGAGTATTACATGGAAATGTTGCTGTTTCCTTTTAGAATTTCTCTAACTATATGGTTGTTGATCTTCAGTTGATTTTTTTAGTATTACATGGAAATGTTGCTGTTTCCTTTTAGAATTTCTCTAACTTTATGGTTGTTGATCTTCACTTGATTTTGTTTTTGATTTCTCATGGAAATATACAATATCTGCTTGTTTAAAAGTGCCATCACTTCATGGATGATGATCTTGGACTTGAAAGTGCCACCAGTTAATGGATGATAATATTGCTTTATGAATCATGTTTCCTTTGGTTTGTGGAAGTTATTCTTCTGCCAATTCATAGTTTTTCATGGATCACTGCCATCTTATACTTTTGCTTGGGAGAGCTATGCAATTTGTATTGCATCTTTGGTTCATGTACTGGATATGTACTAGTAAACCATGTCCCTTTCAATTTTAACACATTTGGGTTTGAAATACTGGACAGAAAAGCATTGCACAGGGTGTTATGAAATATATGTGCTACATTCTAGTTCTGCCCTTTATCTCATTCAATCTGAATGTTGACATTATTGCTTTTCTTCTCTGCAGGAGCGTTACTTGACTCCTCCAAATTTTGAGAGACTGTTAGCTGCAAACTTGAAGCTTTTAACAGAAAAAGGGCGACTGATTAAGGTAACCCATGTTGTCGGTGGAGCAATATTCCATGGACAGTTTTTGGCTATAAGATGAAAATTCTTTGCTTTTAACCCATTCATGTGGTTTGAGATCATTGAATCGATGTTGAATTGATAGGTAAAGCATCAGTACAGGATTGCTCCAACTTCAGCCACTATTGATTTAGGGATAGACCCTCCTCCTTTGCTTTTGGAGGTAGTGCAAAAGGACTCTTCAAACGGAGAGAAGAAAGGAACCAAAGTTCTGACTAAAGCTCAGATTGATGCTGAACTGGAGAGGTTGAGGAGCATGACAGCAGCGGAGGCTGCTGCAGCTGCTGCACAAGCAGTTGCAGAAGCAGAAGCTGCAATAGCAGAGGCTGAGGTGGCTGCAAGGGAAGCTGAAGAGGCAGAAGCAGAGGCAGAAGCGGCACAGTGTTTTGCTGAAGCAGCATTGAAGGCATTGAAGTGTAGAACTGTTCTTGTCTGGTAAACTCAATGCCAAAAAGTCATATATTGTTCTGCCTTTTGTCATACCTGTGTTATTTTAGCTGGAAGATGAATTGGGCATTAAATGGTGGTTTAGCTGTACCCTTGGCATTCCGATTTTAGCTGTACAATTTCTGTTAATTTCAAGTTTTGGTTGGCACTGTGTCATAATAGTTGTACCTGTGCTGAGATGGGTGCTTAACCATAATGCTGTCTGGAGCTAGTTGAAGGGGTTTTTATTCATTTTCTGATGTATTCGCTGATTCAATGTCCTTGATCTTTTGCCCCTGCGTAATGACTAGGGGTAGGATGTTGCTCTTGTGATCACGTGCTATATGCATATGAGGTTCACTCATAGCTAAAGGCATAGGCCTTCCCCCCACATTTCTTAGATTATTGTGCTGCAGAGCAGGCTAAATGCTAACTGAAGACCACTAAGTAAATAGCTAAATGGGTCTAAGTATAAGCAGTCAAGGGTGTCAAATTCCTGTTCATATATACAGTTCAACCATCCAAACACCTTCACTTAGTCTGACATGACTATTCATGTAGCCTTTCGGTATTTGCCATGTGTTCCTGTGCATGTTGGGTGTATCCTTTTTTACTCGATTGGAAATCAATTTGCATAAAAAGGAAAGCTTATTGAATTTAGTTCGGGCTATGGTTGTTTTTGAGTGAAGAACCTTGTTCATAAGTAGAAACTGCATTGTACATTACGTTTCTCTTATCAATTTTGTCAAATAGACAGAAACTTGCTTTGCTGAACTAATAGCAGTTTTCCTCTTGCAGATTGTCTCGCCCTTTGATCATTGGAACTCAGCCATGCCCTGACAATGGTTACTCCCTTCTTGCCCCCTCTTCTGCAAGCATGTTAATAATTGTAGATATAGCTAGTTTTGTAAATCTGAAGGGGGTTTTTGTCCATAGTGTTTGGATTATTATTAGCTTCTCTTTGATAGATTTTACAATGAAAATGGAAGGAGAGAGTTTAAATATAGTTTCAGATGCTTAACTGGAAATATGAGCAACGGACATTGTGGCCCTTCATTGAAGCGAAGCACTGCATCTTTTATGTCTCTGAGCCACATACTTGTGTTCTTTTCATTTGGGTACGCTGAATTGTAGTTTCGTGTTCTTAGTCCACCTCTATGCACCTTCCTCCTTGTTTGGGAGGGTTTCCTGGCCGCACTCTCTGCTGGTTACATCCCTTGGCGCCTAATTTATGCGCTACCTACCGTCTAAGATTAAGGGGTGCCAAATTGCACGAGGCTAATTGCTTGCTAATTTCTCTCAAATGTCAATTAGCTTTAATAAAAGGAACTCAAAGAGGATAATGTACGAGGAAAGAAAGATGCGTCTCCCTCATGACCCGTAACATGCAGGCAGACTTGAAAGTGATTAAAATTTACCGAACTCCTGTACGAATTTAAGATTCTTCTTTTCTTGACCACTTCTTTTTACTACTTTCATGGAACTAAAATCAGATCTTACTTCATAGATTAATAGTGGACATGGATTAGCTAAGTTTGTCATGCATATTGGCATATATCTTGAGAAATAAAACAGGTCCATCTACGAATTGCCGAGTCCAAGTCCATTCAAAAGTCAATGTTGAACCGAAAGAACAGCGTACTGCACAAAACTGCCGGTAAGAAGTTCTGAATTTTTTATTCTTCATTTCATAGGAAAACTAATATATTCAAAAATCAGAGTATTTTTCAGGCTTTACTTGCAATGAACCAAGTTATTTTGAGTCGAGGACAATTACTTCATCACTTGCAATTCTTAACAGAAGCAAAAAAAATGTGTTAGGCTCCTCTGAACTATAATATGAAATGGTTAATCGTGTTGAGATTTTTCCAAATCTCAAAATCTTCGCAGCAGCGTCTCTTCTTAACCATTTTTATTTTTTACAATGTCTTCATTAATGCTAATTCAACTCCTCTGATACTACTTGTTGAAGTTGTAATTGCCAGTATTCTTGTTTTCTTCCTTAGTGCCTAGCGGAACAACTCCTTTAATCTGTAAAAACCAATGAGGTGAGATCAAAGGTCTGGTGATAGAAATGATCACCCTTTATGAGCACACGTCCTTACTGCATGATTTGCAAGTACCGTACGTGCATTAGACAACAAAACTTCAACTGCATATCGAGAAAATTATCAGGGAACAAACCTCTGGCATTGAAAGATTTAGATCATCGCTTATGGCATATTGCGCAGGTGATGAATAGCCTGTCTGAAGACAAATACGATAGACTTTCTCACAAAAGCACAAGGGAAAATTTTGGTTAACAAAGACAACTGATGCCCCAAATGATAGACCTCTTTTTTCATTTCCAACTAAAATGACGTATCAAATTATTCTACAAGGCAGGCAAGCGGAAAAAAGAAGAAGAAGAAGAACTGGCGAAACATTAATCATTCCAATGCAGCAGTAGCACCAGCTGCCTTGAGCTTCTCAACAATTGCATCGGCCTCTTCTTTAGTAATTCCTTTTTTCACAACTACAGGGGCTTTTTCCACCAAATCTTTAGCCTCCTTTAAGCCCAAATCAGTAAACCCTCTAATCTCCTTAATAACTTTGATCTTTGCGGCGGTGTCAAATTTCTCGAGCTTCACGTCGAAAATGGTCTTTTCAGCAGCCTTGGCATCTGCAGAGGCCGAATCCGGCCCGGAAGCTGAAGCACCGGATGAAGTTACAACGCCAGAAACAGCAGGCCCGTATCGGTTTAGGCCCATTTTGTGCCTGAAGAGGATGGCATAGTCGTGCCTCTCGATCTTAGTGAGGTCCAGAAGCTCGTCGGCGATGCGTTCGAGCTTTTGGGTTCGGGTTTCCGTGGCTGTGCAGAGGGCCCGCGTGAGTAATGGGTTGGGCTTTCGGGTGGAATTAGATTTCCTGGTAGTATTAGATTCTGGTAGTATCTGAGCAAATGCAAACATCAAAAAGCAGAAAGAAGATGCATCGACCTATGCACTTGTAAGACACTAAATTACACTTTAGGTTATAGAAATGACGAGCATGGAGAAGGTGGAAGGGTGAAAGAACACGCATAAGATGCAATTCAATGCTTTTAACTAGTCAAACCAACACTTGATAACAAACATGTATCTAAATATACTGATAAGGAGGTTATTCCCATATTATTGCCTTTATTTTTAGGTTTTTTTGGGAGGTGGGGAGTTTTCGAAGGAAGTTCATGGAGCGGGAGCTACCCTTGATGAGATATTTGTTAAATACAGGAACTATAATGCTGCAAATGAAAAAGGCCTTTCGTTTGGTAAAAGCATGCACTACTCATCAACCAAAGATAAAGCCAGTTACTATATTTACATCCATTAGCTCATCATGTAAAGATATCATTCAGGTAAGCAGAAGTTTCACACCTTTAGAAATGGTTTATGATGCTTCTTAACCTGCAAATAAGAAGTCACGGAAACACAAAACATCAGACTACTAGCAAATTGACAGTTGACACCCAATATTGCAGAACAAAAAGGCTAAAAAGTAATTCCAGGAACTATTCAATTGTCCTGTAGTTCTGACTACCTTGTATATATCACATATCACCACTTTACAGATCCAATTAATCACTCAATTCTCTGAAACCTCAAACACAATATTTACAAATCTAACTGCCTTTATTTTTCAAAACAGTTGTTACTTCTTAACACAATTTACTAGGAAAAGGTATAGACCATCATAAAAAGAGAGGATTGTCCACATACCGTGTAATCCCAACCATGTCTTTGAGCAAATTCTATTGCAGCTTCTTCACTATCAAAACACAAAGCAGAATCACCTACATTGGCATATGGATCCCCCGTGGATGTCCAACCCATCAGTGGATTTTCCCATCTAGATATGACAGAAACAATACAAATTTGAATAAAGATCATCTTTATCATTCATCATACTCAGGAGCCATCCATGAAGAGGAAACTGCAGTGTTTCATAAAGGGGAATCAAGATTCAATGTGCAGTGATCCGTTAGTTAGTGGCCAAAGAGGTAAGTGTTTCCTATATCATAACAGAGCAAGCAACACCTTTCCACATTCAGAAAGAAGGCATTACTACGCTAATTTTGTCTGATAAATGCAATAAACAAGAAACTATACTGAAGTTAAACTAGTAATGGTGCCAATGCACTAAGAAGCAGGTCATTAGCTGCAAAGCTCAAAAACTATGTGGTAACTAAGACACAAGTTCAAAAGTGTCTAATTAGTAGAAGTACAGATCATCTGATATGTATCCGAAACTCTCTCCCTCCGCAACCAAAAAAAAAAAAAAACCTCCCTTTTTTGCGCTTTTTGGTAAAAGGCTTTTTCTTAAAAATAAACAAAATGAAGATTGTTAATTGAAGTGTCAAGGCCCAAATTTTTAATAATCAGATAGAAGTTGGTGCACTCTGTTTTAAATTGGCAAATAAACTGCAATATATTTTACTAACATCCTAGTCAGAACTGAACAACTATAGCACTGTGAAACCAGTAAATCAACTGAAACAAAATGTGCATTTAGAGGTCACGTATCTGTCAAAACTTCCTTCAAACCCCCATAACAAACAAATAGAAAGGTACAGAAAATAAAACCTACTTCTGAGTAGACACGAAGTTGATCTTCCATCTTCCAACTTTTCCTGATCCTTGCTGACTTGCAGTTCGAGCTGGTGAATAAATCAGAACCTGCCATGAAATTATTGAACGTGTTCTATAAATTTTGGACTCCTCAATGAAAATAATGCCACAAACAATTACATTTAGGAAAAGATAACTACTCCTTTTTTCCCTTATGCACCTTTAAATATTTTAAATGATTATGAGTTTATATTTCATAACCCCCAGCCTGCAAGATTAAACTTGTAACGCATGAGAATTCTGAAAGAAACTTAGTCATATGATATCAACTATAGCAACAATAGAAGTTCTTTAATCAATTTGTACACAAAAATAACGAAAATATTCAGTGGTCCACTGAAATCCCTAGCTCAGATATCGATTGAATTACTTTATTTTTCACTTAAAATTACCTCCATTAACTGACTATAACTGAAAAATAATTGGAGAAAAAAAAACACGTTAACAGAAAAGAGTATACCCGTCTGCGAAGATGTTCTTCGGGGATGCCGGAGACCACGCCGATTTCTCCAGGTTTGGTCTCCACCAATGCGTCTGAGGCGAATGGTCTCGACAGTGGGGTCCGGAAAGATGGATAGGCTTGACGAGATCGGCTCGCGAGGCGTAGAAGAGAGCCCGCCATTTTTCCGATGCCGGAGGTTCCTATGTGGCCGGTGGAGGGATTCAGTTAATTTTTTGGTGTATCAGATCAAAATGATACGCAAGAGCAGTGAGGGCGACAAAGGGAGAATTAGTGAAAACTTTTGGGAACTTATATATGTTTTGCATTGCATTTTATGTTCGCCCCAAAGAGCAACTGAAAATTATGCTCACCAATATGGTTGGTTCTAAATTTATGTTTGGCAGCTAGTAGTGATTTGTAACTGCGGCCTTGTTTGGAACCCAAGGAATGATTTTTAGCTTCGAGAATGCTCTGGGAATGACTAAAACACGACTTTTTGTTATCTTTTAAATTTTCTTCAATTTTACTATTATAAAAAATCAAATTTTACTCCAATCACTTGCTCACATTTTTCCAATATAATTAATCCTAAATATTGTAACTACTAAATTACTAATATAATCATATAAACCAGCATCTGCTGAGAGCGACTTTGACGATGGGGATACTGAACCAGCAGTAGAGATGTTCACTGGTTCCAACAGCCCTCCCCTCCCCTAGGGTTCTAAGTCGTAGCTGGAAAAGGACAGTTTTGTCATTTCAACCGTTTTAACGATGTCGTTTGGACGGATAAGTAGAAACATATTCATTAATAGTACGAGAAAACTTGCTTTGACATGATCCCAAAACTAGTACAATACCCGTTCACTTCAGTCACTGCCATACTGCGCAACAATTTTATGTTGGGATAGCAAAATTATTCATAGTAGTAATATTTTACTTGTATTATAAATGTAATCTGTAGCCTCACATTTTATGTATTTAGTCACTTTTTTAACTCACGTACGTTTGCATCGATGAACTCGCGAAAGTCAACCTAATGAAATGAAACATAACAAGGGACTTCATTATGCACAAGTAATTTGTGGGAATTGCAAGTATATCATTGAAAATCTTGCCACCCAAAGTGTATCATCGAAAAACAAAATAGAACATAACACCAGATACACATGATGCTTTGACTCAAGTACACCTAATTTAAATGAATGTATGTATACCAATGCCCGACTCAACTGCCAAGAAGTTCTTCAGAAGAAGCTCTATAGCTTAATGCATCTCAATTTGGTTCTGGACAACTGGGAGGGAAAAGAAGTTGCCATCAGTTTGTCTCATTTCCTTCCAGCTTTTCAGAATCTCATCGGCTGAAGGTACATTGGATCCACGGGAATCGCTATGTCCACTGGCTGACACCTCAAATTCCAGGTCATCATCATCACCACAGGCCCCTAGATCGTTGCATTTGATGTCACTTGAGTTGCTCTCCCAGTAAGTAAGACCAAAATCTGTAGACGCAAAAGGATTGCCAGAATGCTCAAGCATTATGTGTGGACTAGCACTAACATTCCCTCCGTTATTGTAACTGGACAACCCATCGAAACTGCTTCTGTCATTTCTGTTAACTTGGAGACTCTTGGGTGGATTCACACCAGCTATATTGGGATTTATACTTCCAGTGCCGTCAGATAACTGATCACAACCATCTGGAGGTAATAAACCCGTCAAATTGTTGCCAGAAGATATTAAATCCAATGAGCTACTCAAGCTTGAAGGACCACAGAGGAACTGCAATGCTCGAGTAAAGTTAAGAACTGTGGCCTCGTTTGCTAGATGATGACTACACAAAGCATCTGATAACTCCCTCAAACTAGCCCTGCTAATTCGGTCTTCATTTTCTTCAAACAACTCAATCCATTGTTTTTCACTAACTTGAAATGGAGCATGAGCCATTGTGTTAACTAGTGTGGCAGCTCTTTCATGATCATGTTGGATAACAGCTTGGCATACCATTTCAGTAAAGAATGTAGGATGCGGTACTTCACCATCCTCCAAAACTGTGTTAAATGCATGCTCCAGTAAGTGCCACTGCATCCGACAAAAGAGCATAGAAAGCTTAACAACCAAATATCAAACTTAGTTCTAACAGGAATGAGCTCATCTTGTAATTGTCATCTTGGGGTCATTCAATACGTTTATAACAGCAAATTTATCGCAGAAAGCATTTGTAGTGACCAACTAAACTTCACATCCTTCTAATCATGCAGAACTAAATGTATCATATAAAATGGCTAAAGAATTTAGAGTCACCTGGAGAAACCACATTGGTTATTAACATTATGAAAATATAATACCGAACCAACAAACTAAATATATTTGGTCCAAAGGCAAATTTTGAACTCCTAGTACCAATGATGACATTCAAAGGAGAATTGTCAATACAAAAGGTGACACCTCCATAGTTTACCTTTCCAGCTCTGGATGCTTCCACTAGCATGGATGCATGTTTATTTTGATGAAGCTTATGTCCACCAAGGGTCATTTCTTTGTATACATACTCAAAGTACTCCCACTGCATTGCACTCGCAGATACCTCTAGCATTAAGCTGAATGTGTAAATATCAGGGCTAAGAGAAGATGCCCAACAATTCTGAAAAATCCCAGAACCCGGATAATCTCTCCTAATTTCTTCAAATAGTTCTCTAGCTTCAAGAAACATATCATTTAGCCCATATACTTTCAACATAGCATTAATGACTCCAATGTCAGAGCTACAGCATCTTTTACAATGTTCAAAGATAGCTAAACAACCATTTAAATTCCCACCATCCATGGCAGCCAAAATCATGCCGGTAAAGGTAACCTCCACGGGTCTAGTCCGATGAACATTCTTTAGTTTCTCAACCTGATGCAACATAAACAAACAAATTTCACTGATCAACCATCAAGATAAGCTAAGATGGGACTTTACATCTATTAGTCACAAGACTTTAAAAGGTTATTATGGAAGCTGTCCTCCTGTCAAAATCAAAATTCAAAGGACCCTTGTAACAGGTAAAATCCCACTTCCACTTCCTCCTACTACAACATCTAGCTTGAACTTCCAGACAGCAATCTCAGGTAGTCAACAAACATATTGTCAAATTGCACCCCTAATTAGTGGACCATAGCAAAAATCTTAATTACAGTAAAACCAACCTCCATTATAGCTTCTTGACACCTGCCATGGAAGCAAAGGCAACGAGCAAGCTCATAATACACACAGGCCGTCCCAATAATTCCCCTGTCTTCCATCTCTCTGACTGCCTGGATAGCTTCACTGACTTTGCCTTCTGCCCAGAAGGCTTTCACAAGAACTAAAAGTAGCAGATAACATAACAGTTAAACACCACAGCAGACAATGTGAACAGCTAGGGCTACACCATAGTACCTTTGTAAGTAAGGGCTTTCAGATCTTCTCCACTTCTCTTCATTTTCCCAAAGAATTCGTAGACAAGATCATACTTTCCAGATTGCAGCATTACCTTTTAAGAAGCACGTCCTGTAAGGCTTGAATACAAGTATAACTTGAGGACAAACAAAATCAGTCAAGTAAAACAAAATTTTGTCCAAATATCATTGCTTTGCGAGGAAGGGTACTAAATGATCCTAACTTAGTACATAGATGCAGATGCATAGGTACAATCCAGAAAATTCAGTAATGGCATATAAGCAGAGTATGGGTTAATAGAAGCCAAATAGTATGGAAACTACAAATAACACAAAGTTTCTACGAGAAAGATGTCACCCTACTCTTTCTAGATGCACATGATTGAACTAGATGCTGAGGGCAACAACTTAAGTGGAATTGCTTCGAACAATCTCTTCGAAGAGAAACATCCCCTATTCAACACCAGTAAGAAAAAGAGCAAACAGCAAACAAGAGAAACACTATTAAAATACTTGCAAAGGACTAATTGATAAAGACATGGATTTGAGTTTACCAGTCAATTACTGACATCATAACTTAACCGCATAGAAAGATCTGGTCAATCTTTATTAAGATAAAAATCAATATTGTACCATAATTACACACTTATCTTTTGTTTTACCATGATAAATCGAAAAATAAAAATAAAAATAAGATTACCTCCATGGAGAGGCCATAGGTTGCTCCATTAGGTCTAAGACCACTCTTTCTCAACTGCTGAAACACCCAAGATACTCCCTTCCACTGACGGGATGGAACACATGCATTCAGAACCTGGTGAAATGGGGAAAATGCTCAATGAAGTACATTGTTGGATTATTACATATCTGTCATAAATCTAGTTTGTCCCTTACGGCATTGAATATGATGACATCCGGTTGAAGCTCAGGATTCCAATTCCTAGACTTCCTATTTTTAATTATCTTCGGTTTTTCCTTCATGCATTCAATTACTTTCAGCAGTTCCTTCAAAAGGCCAGCTTGGCCCAGTGCAACAGCAACACTATGGTAGGCAGGCATGTCAGGATATATATGTCCATCCCCCTAAACACAAAATGAAGTTACTTTTTACTTCTTTGGTAGAAATGAAGTTAGATTCTATCCAACTAGATTGCAAAAGAGTACTTTATCAAAATTCAAATCACACGAATTAGAAAACAAATATCATTACTCGCATGAAATTGAATATTCGAAGAACTTCATGAGGTCTCCTGGCCTTCCCAAGAATAGCTAACAACTTTGTATATACAAACCTTCAAAAACAAGAAAATCAAATGTAAATTTCTTCCTTCAGCCAAAAAGGATCAACACTTAAATAAAGTATCAGTGGCATACACAATTAAAAACTTGCCAAAACTATTCGTATACAAAAAATTTTAGTATGGCTAAAATATAGCCAAACGCAGAGCAAAACAAAGCAGAAACCTTACCTGCTTCTAAAGTGTCTATGCTCCCTAGAACTGTAAACCCACTCCACAACAGACAATGCGTGCCTCCACTTGCCTCTCTCACCCAGCCCCTCCACTACCTTCAGCATCTGCTTTTCCGTGAACTGCAATCCAGACAGCTTCATTATCTTCGAGAATTTCCAGTCCTTCACACGCGGCTCCGAACCATCCAATCTTTAAATCAAAGAACAGGCAGGCACCATCATCGAAACTTCAAGCTAAACACATAATAGATGAAAAGCAGAGACTTTTTGAATAGTAAAAGATTGCCTACCTCTCCAGAAAAATATCAATTGTTTCAGCTTCACTCCGGCAATGCTTGGGTGGGACCCACGTACTCCTTTCTTTATCGAGCCAATCTTTTTCCACTTCGATATCATCATCTAAAAGCCAGTGAAATTTCTCCTTTTCACTCTCCATAATGTCACTGAGTTCGATCAGGTGCTCAGTCTTCAACTTGTCTCCGCCATATTCTTTATTCTCACTCGCAAGCTCTCTCAATTTAAGCGTCTCCAGTCTCTCCCATGGCCGACCCACCATC